GATGAATGCATGTATGCATCACCAAAATACACCACTTAATGACAATTAATTAATACTGATAATTAATTAATATTAATATCAAAGTAAGTATAAAATAAAGTTCTAAACCTTACATTATTGAGAAAAAAAGATTAAAAATATATATTTTAAAGGAAACTTGTAGGGAAAAAAGGGCCTGGTGAACATGAAATTCAACTATTTTTATCACACAAAAGTCACTCCTGATATAGTAGACTATATTTTTTAGAGTTGTTCTGGGTTCACAGCAAAATTGAGCAGAAGGTACAGATATTTCCCAGATATCCTCTGCCCTTACACATGCATAGCTTCCTCCATTATCAACATCACTCCCCAGAGTGGTACATTTTTTTTCCAAGGATAAATGTACATTGACACATCATAATCACCAGAATTTACATCATGGTTCATTCTTGGTGTTAAACATTCTATGAGCTTGGATAAAAGTGACATGTATGCACCATTATAATATCATACAAATTAGTTTCACTGCCCTAAAAATCCTCTGTGCTTCACCTATTTACCCATCTCCCTTCTAACCCCTGGCAACCACTGATCTATTTACTGTCTCCACAGTTTTGCCTTTTCTAGAATGGCATAGAGTTGGAATCATACAGTAAGCAGCCTTTTCAGGCTGGTTTCTTTCACTTAGTGATGTGCATTGAAGGTTCCTGCCTGTCTTTCCATAGTTTGAGAGCTCATTTCTTTTTTTTTTTTAAGATTTTATTTTTTTCCTTTTTCTCCCCAAAGTCCCCAGTACGTAGTTGTATATTCTTCATTGTGGGTCTTTCTAGTTGTGGCATGTGGGACGCTGCCTCAGCGTGGCTTGATGAGCAGTGCCATGTCCGTGCCCAGGATTCAAACCAACGAAACACTGGGCCACCTGCAGCAGAGCCTGCGAACCTAACCACTCGGCCATGGGGCCAGCCCCTGAGAGCTCATTTCTTTTTAGCACTTACTTAATATGCTATTGGTATATAGTGGGAAAGCTTTGAGTTTCTCAGCATTAAGTATAATATGAACTGTAGGGTTTTTTGTAGATCCTCTTTATCAAGTTGAGGAAGTTCCCTTCTAGTCCTAGTTTACTGAGAATTTTTGTCATGAATGGGTATTAGAGTATCTCAAATGCTTTTTCTGCATCTATTTTATGATCATGTGGGTTTTCTTCTTTGGCATGTCAATGTGATGGGTTTTATTACTTGATTTTTGAATGTTGAACCAGGCTTACATATCTGGGATAAATCCCACTTGGTCATGGTATATAATTCTTTTTGTACATTGTCGGATTCAATTTGCTACCATTTTGTTGTTGATGATTTTGTATCTATGTTGGGGAGAGATATCGGTCTTTAGTTTTCTTTCTTAGTAATATCTTTTTCAGGTTTTGGTCTTAGTGTAATGCTGGCCTCATAGAATGAGTTAAGAAGTATTCCCTCTGCTTCTATCTACTGAAAGAGATTGGAGAGAATTGGTATAATTTTCTTCCTTAAATGTTTGGTAGAATTCACCAGTGAACCCATCTGGCCCTGGTGCTTTCTGTTTTGGGAGGTTATAAACTGCTTGAGTTAATTTCTTTAGTAGATATAGGCCTCTTCAGATTGTCTATCTCTTCTTGTGTGAGTTTTGGTACATTATGTCTTTCAAAGAATTGGTCCATTTCACCTAGGTTATCAAATTTATGGGCATAAAGTTGTTCATAGTACTCCTTTATTATTCTTTTGATGTCCATGGAATCTGGTAGTGATATCCCCTCTTTTATTTCTGATTTAAGTAACTTGTGTCCTCTCTCTTTCTTCTTAGTTATCCTGACTAGAGTTAGATCAATTTGATTTGTATTTTCAAAGAACTAGCTTTTGGGTTTGTTAATTTTTCTCTATTAATTTCCTATCTTAAATTTCATTGATTTCTGCTCTAATTTTTATTATTTCTTTCCTTCTGTTTTCTTTAAATTTAATTTGCTCTTCCTAAGGTGGAAGCCTACACAATTGATTTTAGATCTTTCTTTTTTCTAATATATGCATTCACTGCTATAAATTTCCCTCTAATCACTGCTTTCACTGCATCCACAAATTTTGATAAGTTGTGTTACCACGTTAATTTAGTCTGAAATATTTTTTAAATCTCTTGAGATTTATCCTTTAATGTATGTGTTATTTAGAAATATTTTGTTTAATTTCCAAGTATTTTCAGATTTTCCAGCTATATTTCTGTTATTGATATTAAATTTAATTCCATTGTGGTCTGAGAGCAGATACTGTGTGATTTTTATTCTTTTAAATTTGTTAAGGTGTGTTTTATGGCCCAAAATGTGGTCTTTCTTGGTGAATGTTCCATGTGAGCTTTAGAGGAGTGTGTGCTCAAGGGGGAAGCTAGAATGACTAATGAGATTCCAAACTCTAGGGAGATCATTAATTTTCCAAGATTCTATGACTTCTCAAGGTGATACAAGCAGGAAGGTACTAGTTTCCTAGGGCTGTGGTACAAAGTACCAAAAACAGGACGGCTTAGACAACAGGAACTTATTGTTTCACAGTTCTGGAGGCCAGAAGTCCAAGATCAAGGTGTCCACAGGGTTGGTTCCTTCTGAGGGCCGTGAGGGAGAATCTGCTCCATGCCTCTCCCTAGCTTCTGGTGGTTTTCCGGCAATTTTTTTGCATCCTTTGGCTTATAGGTGCATCCTCTTGATCTCTGCCTTCTTCTTAACATGTCACTCTCCCTGCATGAATGTCTGTGTCCAATTTCCCTGTTTAATAAGGACACCAGTCATATCGGATTAGAGGCCCACTCTACTTCAGTAACTTAACTAATACAGCTGCAATGACCCTATTTCAAAATAAAGCCACATTCTGTGGTGCTGAGGGTTAGGATTTCAACATATGAACTTGGAGGGGGCATAATCCAACCTGTAACAGGGAGCAAACAGCAGTGTAGATGTGACAGAATGGAAAGATACAACAGCATTGGGCTCCAGTCTTAGTCTGTGGACGATGTGTTGTTGACCTTGGGCAAACTGGGCCTGTTTCTTCCCCTGCAAAATAAGAGAGTTCCTAGAGACATCACAGTTTCTCTCCTAGTCCCGTTGTTCTGAAAAGGCACTGCTGTGAGAAGGCTTAAAACATAACATTTTAAGTTAGGTTTTGGATTTTAAACAAACCATCAACTCAAAAGAGAGAGCTTTTGAAAGGATTGTAGTACGAAGAGGACCAGCACAGAAGGGGCAAGGTCTCTGGGGGTGGTTAGTGGGAAGGGTTGCCCCCACACGTACAGTATCACAGAACCATTGCCTTTGGGCTGTGATCACTCCCAGCCTCTTTGGAGTTGCAACACCCAACGTGTTATGGCTGTTTATTTGATTTTGTGACACAGCCTGTTACCCTCCACCTCCCCACAGCTTTCTTCTTCCCCAGCCCCAGCCCAGAGGAAATATCAAACGTGAACTTACTTTTAGAAATTAATTAGGTCTTGCAAATTTCATCACACCCTGAGAAAATCCTGTCCACTCTGTCAAGGATATAAACAAAAGCAGATGGCCACTGGGCACAGGAATGGCTGGAGGAGACAATACTCAGGACTACCCAAAGGACCATTTTCAGGAAATTACAAATTATTATTTTTTTAATGCCACTCTCACTGTTTTAAAGCACTTTCACAATAGCAAGTATATATGATTGGATGTCAAAGTTACTGGGAAAAAAATATAAAACAGCATTATTTGGAATAAGAGGTGGTAGATTTATGGGTGATTTTAATTTCTTTTCTACACTTTTATCTATTTTCAAATATTTCTACTATAAGTTAGTACTGCTAATAATCCAAAATTATAATAATGACTTTAAAAGATGAAGAAGTTTATTCTTCTGTTCAACAAATGTTTATCGAGTATTCACTACATGCCAGATACTGTCATAACAGTGAAAACGACAGCTCCTGTGGAGCTTCCATTGGGGAAAGGGTGATGTTAGGAGGCACAGACCATTTGTCCCTCTGTGTTAAAGTTTGCTTCAAGCAGATTTTTTGGGTAAGTGATGTGGAGGGAGAGATTGCAGCCCGCTGAGGGTAACATGTGCTCCCAAAGAAGGAAGTGATGCTGAATGGAGAGGTTTGACGGTGGTGAGTATTATGCTTTATCTGTGTCTAGATTCTACTGGAAGCTGGCTCTTAGTGGAGTCAGAGTTCCACCCTCCCTGGTCCAAGGCTGCCTCTTGCACTCAACTACCTTCCCTGGGACATCGTGAAACCCAAGTCGGGAATCACACACACCAGGATACTGCTGATCCAGGTGGGGCTGAGAACGAGACAGGACATGCTGCTGCTGTCAGTGTGTGGAAAGCCACACTGGCCTCACTGATCAGCTGATGCAGGCACCATTCCTTGGCAGGACACTGAATTCTCTCTGAGTCATCTTTTGAGGCAAGATGCTGGACATTTACTGAGATGAAAAGGCTGGAGGAACCTGTTTTTGGTTATTGTACATGTTTCTTTACTGACGTCCTAAGGTTTAGAGAACTGCTAGTTTTTGCTGGCACCTCCTGGACATCTTCACTGGGTGCCACCATGGAAACTATAATGATGCTCAGAGGGCACGACGAAGTGCCTGAAGTCCTGGAGAGGCTGGAATAGAGACTTAATTACACAAGACTTTGATTTGCCAGGGCCATGTTTCAGACCTGGGCCACTAGACTGGTCCTTGGAGAAAACAAAGTGGCAAGACACATTAAAACACAAAAAGATCCATATTCTTGGACCTCAGGAATCTGACTCCTGAGAATTTATCCTAAAGAAATGATTTGTTTCTGCATTCACTCTAATATTGAGGCATTGAAAACATTCCAAATGCCCATGATTGGGGAACAGCTAAATAAATTGTGGTAACACCAATTCCTACAATAAGTACACATCTAATACTTACCATAATCACAACTGGAAAGGTATATATACCATCACAGGAGAGCGTGTGCTATAACAAAGCATTGCAGACTGAGTGGCGTCAACTACAGAAATTTATTGTCTCACACTTCTGAAGGCTAGAAGATCAAGGTGTCAATCAGATTCGTTCCTTCCTGGGGCTGTGAGGGAAGGGTCTGTTGCAGGTCTCTCTCTTCGGTTTGTAGATCACTATCTTGTCCTTATGTCTCTTTACATTGTCTTCCCTCTATGCAAATCTGTCACTGTGTCCAAATTCCCCTGTTTTATAAGGACATAAGTCATATTGGATTAGGGCCCATCCTAATGACCTTATTTTCAATTGAACGCCTCCGTAAAGACCTCTCTCTAAATAAAGTCACATTCTGAGGTACCAGAGATTAGAACTTCTGTATCTTTTTTTTGAGGGGAGACACAATTAAACCCATAACAGTGTTTTATCACATACTGCTAAGAGAAATAATAATAACAGCAAACTCTCATTTGGCACTTTCTATGGATCAGGTGGTGTTACAAATACTTTAAATATGTTACCTCGTTCAACCTCCACAGCACCCCATGTGGTATTAGTATCCTCATTTTGCTAATAAGAAATTTAAAGCACAGCAAAGTTCTTTTCTCAAGATCACATAGCTAATCAGTGGCAGAATCAGGCTTTGAACCCAGGCAATACGGCTCCAGAGACCAAAAACTTAACCTCCTCATCATACTGCAAAATTTTATGTATGTTATGATTACAATATTAAAATATGTAAAAAATATTTTTGCAAACAAAGCCTTAATAGAATAGGCAAAAATGAAAGTAGTTTATAAATAGGAGAGTGTACATCTTATGATGTTACATTACTCTTACAGTTAATATATACACATGCTTTCACAGACTTTTTCTGAAAACAAAGAATGCTTTGACCAAGTCTCCCCAATCTGGGAAAATTCTTAAGGATACCAGACATCAAAAGATGAATGATAATAACCATCTGGGATAGCCAGTTGCTGAGATGGCCCCAGTGATCCTTGCCTTCTGGTGTTCACCCCCTTGTGTTGTCTTTCCACGTTCAATAAGGGCTGACTTGCATGAAAAATAGAACAATAGAACAATAGAATACTGCAGAAGTGATAGCATGTGACTGTCAAGGCAAAGTTCAAAAAAGGCATTGCAGCCTCCACCTTGGTCTCTTGGATCTCTTGCTCTGGGAAGAACCAGCTGCGATGTCTTGATGACACTCAAGCAGCCCCGTGGAGAGCCCCAGATGAAGAGGAATTGAGGCCTCCTGACAGCAGCAGCATCAACTTGCCCACCATGTGAGTGAACAACCTTTGGAGCTGATCCTCTTGCCCCATTAAAACCTAGATGACTACAGCCTCAAAGTCTTGGCTGCAACCTGGTGGGAGACCCACTAACCACTCAGCCCAGGCCCTACTGAATTTCTGGCCCACACTGTTATAAACAGAATAATGCCTCCAAAAATGTCCACATCCTACTGCCTGAAACCTGTGAATGTGTCACCTTACATGGCAAAAGCAACTTTGCAGATATGATTAAGGATCTCCAGATCAGCAAATTATCCTGGATTATCTGGGTGAGCCAAGTCCCCTGGGCCTGAGCTCTAACCTGCCTGGGCTCTAAACCCTCTGCAACCTTTGGAAATGGTGGATAGTGTATGAGGGACAATTCTAATTATGCAAGTGGACAGCTTACACCAAAAGGAGTCCCCCAGGCTCTGAAGACTGGGCCTGCCCTTGACAACTTTTCTTTCCTCTAGAGAAATGGGTGCTTGCGAATGAGGTATAGAAACTGCTTTTTGTTTTGTTTTTGTAGAGTGTTAAGAAAAATTTATTTGACACTTGGAAATGAGGCAAAAGATAACTGCATGTCTTCGATGTCATATGGGGTGTTGTCTCCCAGGCCCACCCCAAATTATGGATTCTCTAGGGGTGGTATGCCCTTATTTGACTCACTGCGTGCTCTTGATTCGGGCTCAGGCTCAAACTGGATTTTCTTTTGATCAATTGCAAATACTTTTTGTGAAGTAAAGAGGCAAATGATTTCCTGTCTAGTAGAAAGAATAACTTCAAAGTTTGTAGTTCATTGCTGTGTAGACGGGGTGATCAGCTCTTCCCATCTGCCCAGGGGCTAAGGGGTCTCCTAGGATGAAGAATTTTTAGCACTAAACCGTCACTGTCCCAGGCAAACTGGGGAGCTTGGTGACCGTACCTGCAAGACATTAACCAGCCTTGGAGCCGCCTCAGCCGTCTCCTTCCAGCATTCTGCCTTTCATGGGCCAGAAACGCTCTCCCATCTGCCTCTGAACCAGTTTTCTCATATTGCTCTTATGTCATTAATGAGCTAAATAAATCTTTGACACATCCTCGCTTTACATTTGCATGAGTCATACTTTTCAAGAGTTTTAAATCAGTGCTTTGGCAAGAGAAGGGCTTTCTCTGATGAGGGGGGTAGGGGCGGTCTTGCCAGGAAAGCAGGCCTGAGGATCCATACCGGAGAGGCTGTTTCTATTTTTCTTCCCTTTATTGATCCCCTTTCCCTTGAGCCTATAGATACGCTTAAGTCTCTTTCTCCTAGAAAAACAGCCTCTCTTCCTCCTGGCAACGGCCCTGTCCCTGTACATTCTTCTCATCCAAGAGTGTGATCCGGTTCCTTCCTAGCAACCCTCTCATGATCTTTAGCCAAAATCACTGACACATCCAAGTACAACTAAACACTTTCCAATCTTGAATTCACTTAGCTTCTCTGTAGTAAAAAATGTTTATAGCTCCCAATATCTGACACTCACTGAGTACTGACGTTCAACCGAGGACTCACCGAATTTGTCTTTCATTGAGCATTTGCCATTCAGCGACTCACTGTCCGGCCACTTGGCATGATTTACTGATCACTTGCTCCTTCTTGTTTACGGAGCTATACTTCCTTAATATCACTCAAACCTACTTCCTTTCCATCCGCAATATCAAGACCTCGGCTTGGACCAGCTCTCCCTCCAAAATTCCCAGGATGTTATTTCTATACCAAATTTGACTAAGGTACTTCCCTGATGAAAAGCCATCTCTGGCGGTTCCCCACAGCCTACAGTCGCAAACCTAGCCATGCCATGCCAATACACGATTTATTTATAAATTATGTCCATATGCTACTGTACTAATCTATTTCTTACATTACAAATCAGATGTGGAAAACAGAAGTAACCAAAGGGATAGCATTTACAAATTAAATAGAAGTTCTAATTTTCTTCCTGACCCCGCAGTGGAGGTCGCCTGCCCTGGCTTGGAGTCCACAGGCCCACATTGGGAGGTCCAAGGACACATGGCTGACTTCCAAAGCTTCTACGATCTGGCCCTGCCTGTGTCTCCTGCCTCTTTTCCCTTTACTTTGCCCCTTCTCCTCATTCTCTGGTCCAAGTGGAAGAATTTGAACTTGAAGCTCCCCAAACCCGCCTGCTTTCGACTTGCTGCCCTTTGTTTGGAACACTGTTCCCTGCCTTGGTTCCCTAAGCTGCAAGCCCCTTTGTCTTATTTGTTCCTAAAAGCCTTCCTTAAGTACTCATTCCCTGGGAAGCTGTTTTTGGGTTGCTTCTGCCTTCATACCCTATCCACACCCCACGCACACCTTTTTCTTTATGATATGACACCATGTTCACCTCTCTGCCTCTCTCATTGAGCTGTGAACTCTCTAAGCGGCTATCTTGTTCACTCAGGAGTCCCCAGTGCCTGATAAACAACAATGACAACAACCAATGCTTCCATAGTGTTAATATATGCTGGTCACGGCTTCCAGGGTTTTATACATAGTTACTTTATTTAATCCCATGAGATGGGTACAATTAACAATTATCCCTATTTTGCAAATGTGGACTCTTGGGCACAGAGAAGTTGAGTAACTTCCCCAGGTCACCCATGTAGTGTTCGAAGTTCAGGAAATACTGAACTAAACCGAGCTGTGTGCTTTCTATCAGCCCTGTGATGAGGGAAGTACAGTCACCCACGCCCAGATGGGGAGGAAATGCTCAGGCTGAGGGAGCGGGGTGCGTGATGTGGGCTGGCCCAGCCAGAGCCTGCGCTGCCCCCTGCTGGCCAGCTCTGCCCTCGCTGCAGGCTTAGCCAGCCAGAAGTCCCCTCTGCCACCTGAGCTTGACTCTGGGGTCTGACATGCACAGGATATTCTGAGGGGGAAAGGGCCAGAAGACCATGGGAAGAACATGTAGGGATTTCCCCTTGATCTGCACACCCAAAGGACCATCTCCCTGACAGGGATGGCCAAATGAAACCCTCAGAGTTAGAATAGAATTGAGAAAGTAAACTCTTTGCCCCCAAATGCCATAGAATGTTCCCAAAACCATTAAAACCATTTGTTTTTTTTTAAGAGAAAAATTTAGGAAAGTATTTGTATTATTCTTAGATTAGGCTCTCCTTTAGGATGGAAAATTAAGTGCTAACCTATATTAACAGATTAGTTCTCAAATGGGGTGCCTCATGGAACTATTCAAAAATACAGATGCTCAGCTGCATTCCAAGCCTGCTGAGTCAGAACCCCCACCACTGCATATTATTTCCCCTCAGGGCTGGCTCCAGGCCACATTTTCCCAAACCCCCAAAGCTCTGAGACCCTATAGCACACCACTTTTCCAGTTTAAGCCAAGGCAATGCCTTTACATCTGGTCTTCAGTAGAAAACTGTGCTATTTTATACTCTGTGAATTGTAGGTAATTTATAACAACGCAAAAAAAAAAAAAAACAAAGAAAACTGTTGTTTGAAGACATGTAAATTCTATCCTGTCTGGTAGTGGTTCCATTGATTTTCCTTTCCCTCTTTGGAAGAAATCACTTTTGCCTCCTTTGTACACTCATTTCATTATTCCTGATCTGTAAAGGGTCTGTTCTTCAGATTCTCTTTTGAACCAGTTGTAACATCTGCCTGATTCCCTCAGAGATTATTGAGTTAAATAAAGTCTTCAGCATGTGTTCATTTTATATCTGTGTGAGGAGTTGTGAGTCTATGTTTTTTGGAAAATTATCTCTAACATACCAATGCTAAGTCCTTTTCTTCTCTGCTCTTTAGCCATCCGATCCTTGTGCTCGCTGCTTTACTGGAAAGTTTGGGGGGGGGTTCTCAGAAAAGGGCTCTTTCCCTTGTAACCTTTCACCATATGCATAATGGCTGCCCGAGGGTTCCTGGAAGAAAAGTAGCAGAGTGACCAAAAGATGTTATATTTTTAACTTAGGCAAAACAGAGGTCAAGGCATTGGTTTCTAAATTTCCCTTCCACAAAAACTGAAATAAAAGAACATAAACTAAAATTAAAGTTAAATAAACCCATCAGATTTCTTTTGGGCTCTAATTCTCAAATACCTTATTTGAGAACACTTATTTACTTACTCCTCCCTTGCTCGTATAGTTGATTGATTTATCAAAAATTACACATATTATTATGTCGGAAGCAAAATGGCGGGATGAGCAGACCCGGGATTCTCTCCTCTCCAAAATACAACAAAAGATTAGAAGAACTGAATTTCAGAGAATAAACATAATGCCAGCTCGTCAGAGACCTACAATACCAAGAAAGTAGAGATCATAACCTTGCTTACACCTTTGGAGGCGCTGGAACGGTAGGAGAGAACATCGCTCCCTCCCCTAGAGTCTGCGATGGCTGCGGCGCGGGTCGGGAAGGAGCGGGGGAGGGGCCGTGCAACCGGGGGATCATCCAGGACTCCTGCCTCTGATTCAGTGGAGACCCGCTGATCTGAACCCAGACCAGCGCGTGTGAGTAACAGCCCCTCCCCCCCAAGCAAAGCCAGTGGGCGCAGCCATCTTGCCCCAAGGCGGAGAGCTAACACGCCGCTCTCGACCCCCATCTAGTGGCGACAGGCTGTAACTGCAACTGAATTCTACCACCATGAGAAAAAACTGCTCCTCTACCGTCCAGCAATTTATAAAAGCCCCAGACCAGAAGGAAAACAATAAAAACACAGAATTAAGTCCTGAGGACTTGGAATTAGGTAAACTAAGTGATAATGAATTCAGAGCAGCTATAATCAAAAAACTCAATGAGGTAGAGAGAAAGATAGAGAAACAAGCCGAGTTCTCGAGTTACTTCACAAAAGAGATTGAAATCATAAAGAAGAATCAAACAGAATTACTTGAGATGAAAAACACAATGGACCAGATAAAACAGAATACGGATTCCCTGAATGCCCGTGTAGACAACCTAGAGGAGCAAATCAGCATAATCGAGGACAGACAGGCTGAATGGCGCCAGACAGAGGAAGAAAGAGAACTAAGAATTAAAAAAAAAATGAGGAAAATCTCCGAGAGATAATGGATTCAATGAGGAGTAAGAACATAAGGATCATAGGAATTCCCGAGAATATGGAAAAGGAAAATGGAGCAGAAAGTGTGCTTAACGAAATTATTGAAGAGAACTTCCCAAATCTAGGGATCAACGGAGAAATGTGTCTAGAGGAGGGTTTTAGATCTCCTAGATTTGTCAATGTAAAAAGACCCACCGCAAGGCACATAATAGTAAAGTTGGCAAATAGGAATGATAAGGAAAGAATACTCAGGGAAGTAAGAAAAAAAAAGAGAATAACCTATAAAAGAGCCCCTATCAGACTGTCAGCGGATTTCTCTACAGAAACCCTACAAGCTAGGAGAGAATGGAGTGGTATATTCAAAGCTTTAAAGGATAAAAACCTTCAGCCAAGAATACTCTATCCAGCAAGAATTTCCTTCAGATATGAGGGAGAAATTAAATCTTTTCCAGACAAACAAAAGTTAAGGGAATTTGTAACTAAAAGCCCTCCATTACAAGAAATCCTCAAGAAGACTCTCATACTTGAAAAAAGAAAAAAGGGAGAAAGGCAACACAATCCACAGACTAGGGAGACTGATGGATAGAACCAGAACAGGATAGCAAATATTCAACTACAGCATTAGGATAAAAATAAGGAAACTACCAAAACAAGGACGATCTTAGCACTCTAACTACAAATTAATAAGACGAGTTGGAATAAAAAATGAAAATAATTATTTAGGAGGGGAAGAGCAAAGGGTCTAAATCAGTATTGGTCAAGTAAGTAAGAGACCACCAGAGAATAGACTATATTATACACGAGATTCTAAATACAAACTTCAAGGTAGACACTAAAATAAAGTACAGAACAGAGTCACAAATCATAGATAAGGAAAAATCTAAGAAACCCAGCATAAGAAATTGCAGTATTAAATGGGTAGTCTAAAGCACACAGGAAAAGAAATACAGGAAAACAAGATAATGAGCGACAGATTAACAGCATTAAGTCCACATGCATCAATAATCACTCTCAATGTGAAAGGATTGAACTCTCCAATAAAAAGACACAGAGTGGCAAAATGGATTAAAGAACAAGATCCAACAATTTGTTGCCTCCAGGAAACACACCTCAGCCCCAAGAACAAACACAGACTCAGGGTGAAGGGGTGGAGGACAATACTTCAAGCAAATAGCAAGGAAAAAAGGCAGGTGTTGCAATTCTCATATCAGACCAAGTGGATTTCAAAATAAGACGAGTAAAGAGAGACACAGAGAGGGACAATATATAATGATCAAAGGGACACTTCATCAAGAAGAAATAACGCTTATAAATATCTATGCACCCAACACAGGAGCACCAAGATTCATAAAGCAACTATTAACAGACCTAAAGGAAGATGTTAAAAACAACACGATAATAGTAGGGGACCTCAACACCCCACTCACATCAATGGACAGATCATCCAGACAGAAAATCAACAAGGAAATAGTGGAGCTGAATGAAAAACTAACACAATTGGACTTAATAGACATATATAGATCACTCCACCCTGAAGGAGCTGAATACACATTCTTCTCAAGTGCACATGGAACATTCTCTAGGATAGACCATATGTTGGGAAACAAGGCAAGCCTCTACAAATTTAAAAAAATTGAAATAATAACAAGCATCTTCTCAGATCATAGTGCTATAAGGCTAGAAATTAATTACAAGAAAAAAGCTGAGAAAGGCACAAAGATGTGGAGACTAAACAACACACTACTGAACAAGCAATGGATCATTGAAGAAATTAAAGAAGAAATCAAAAAATACCTGGAAACAAATGAAAATGATAGCATGCCATACCAACTCATATGGGATACAGCAAAAGCTGTATTAAGAGGAAAATTCATCGCAATACAGGCACATCTTAACAAACAAGAAAATCCCAAATAAGCAACCTTAAAGCACACCTAACTGAACTAGAGAAAAAAGAACAAATGAAGCCCAAAGTCAGCAGAAGGAGAGAAATAATAAAAATCAGAGCAGAAATAAATACTATTGAAACGAAAAAGGCAGTAGAAAGGATCAATGAGACAAAGAGCTTGTTTTTTGAGAAGATAAATAAAATTGACAAACCACTAGCCAGACTTACAAAGAAAAAAAGGGAGAAAGCTCAAATAAACAAAATCAGAAATGAGCGAGGAGAAATAACAACAGACTCTGCAGAAATACAACAGATTATAAGAGAGTACTACAAAAAACTATATGCCAACAGAATGGATAACCTAGAGGAAATGGATAAATTCTTGGACTCCTACAATCTCCCAAAGCTCACTCAAGAAGAGGCAGACAATTTGAACAGACCAATCACAAGGAAAGAGATTGAAACAGCAATCAAAAACATCCCAAAGAATAAAACCCCAGGACCAGATGGCTTTCCTGGGGAATTCTACCAAACTTTCAGAGAGGATTTAATACCTATCCTTTTCAAGCTATTCCAAAAAATTAGGGACGATGGAACACTTCCTAACACATTCTATGAGGCCAACATCACGCTGATACCAAAACCTGACAAGAACACCACGAAAAAAGAGAACTACAGGCCAATATCACTGATGAACATAGATGCAAAAATTCTAAACAAAATTTTGGCAACCAGAATTCAGCAATTCATCAAAAGAATCATACATCAGGATCAGGTGGGATTCATACCAGGGACACAGGGATGGTTCAACATCCGCAAATCAATCAACGTGATACACCACATCAACAAACTGAGGAATAAAAGCCACATGATCATCTCAATAGATGCAGAGAAGGCATTTGACAAGATCCAACAGCCATTTATGATAAAAACTCTGAACAAAATGGGCATAGAAGGAAACTACCTCAACATAATAAAGGCCATATACAACAAACCCATAGCCAACATCATACTCAATGGGCAAAAACTGAAGCCCATCCCCCTGAAAACAGGAACGAGACAAGGATGCCCCCTATCACCACTCTTATTTAACATAGTACTGGAGGTCCTGGCCAGAGCAATCAGGCAAGAAAAAGGAATAAAAGGAATCCAAATAGGGAGGGAAGAAGTGAAACTCTCGCTGTTTGCAGACGACATGATCTTATATATAGAAAATCCCAAAGAATCCATTGGAAAACTGTTAGAAGTAATCAACAACTACAGCAAAGTTGCAGGGTATAAAATCAATTTGCATAAATCAGTAGCATTTCTATACTCCAGTAATGAACCAACAGAAAAAGAACTCAAGAATACAATACCATTCACAATCGCAACAAAAAGAATAAAATACCTTGGGGTAAATTTAACTAAGGAAGCGAAGGACCTATATAATGAAAATTACAAGGCCTTTCTGAGAGAACTGGATGACGACATAAGGAGATGGAAAGACATTCCATGTACATGGATTGGAAGAATAAACATAGACAAAATGTCCATTCTACCTAAAGCAATCTACAGATTCAACGCCATCCCAATCAGAATCCCAATGACATTCTTTACAGAATTAGAACAAAGAATCCTAAAATTCATGTGGGGCAACAAAAGACCCCGAATTTCTAAAGCAATCCTGAGAAAAAAGAACAAAACGGGAGGCATCACAATCCCTGACTTCAAAACATACTACAAAGCTACAGTAATCAAAACAGCATGGTACTGGTACAAAAACAGGTGCACAGATCAATGGAACAGAATTGAAAGCCCAGAAATAAAACCACACATCTATGGACAGCTTATCTTTGACAAAGGAGCTGAGGGCATACAATGGAGAAAAGAAAGTCTTTTCAACAAATGGTGCTGGGAAAACTGGAAAGCCACAGGTAAAAGAATGAAAATTGACCATTCTTTTTCACCATTCACCAAAATAAACTCAAAATGGATTAAAGACCTAAAGGTGAGACCTGAAACCATAAGGCTTCTGGAAGAAAACGTAGGCAGTACACTCTTGGACATCAGTATTAAAAGGATCTTTTCGGACACCATGCCTTCTCAGAGAAGGGAAACAATAGAAAGAATAAACAAATGGAACTTCATCAGATTAAAGAGCTTCTTCAAGGCAAATGAAAACAGGATTGAAACAAAAAAACAATCCACTAACTGGGAAAAAATATTTGCAAGTCATATATCTGACAAAGGCTTAATATCCTTAATATATAAAGAACTCTCGCAACTCAACCACAAAACATCAAACAACCCAATCAAAAAATGGGCTGGAGACATGAACAGACATTTCTCCAAAGAAGATATACTGATGGCCAATAGGCACATGAAAAGATGCTCATCATCGCTGATCATCAGGGAAATGCAAATCAAAACTACACTAAGATATCACCTTATACCCGTTAGAATGA